TTTTTATCTTATTATCTTTATAAAAAAATCAATATAAAATGTTAATGTGACTTAATCATAACCGCACAAAATAAAAAAAGATAAGAAGGACACTCAAACAGGAGGCAGACAATCTGCCTCCCAGCTTATTAGTGTTCATATTTTAAAACTGGAAAGATCAAACCCAGCAAGTTGACAAACAAAATCTGGAAAATGCTACTGTAGGAAGATTTTTACAGAAATTACATTTGTTTGATAGGAGTATGACATTCATAATGATGACATGGCACACCTACTTGCTAGCTCTTTTCTCTGTATTTGGAGGACAGATGGATAGAGAGAGGGCCTCAGAATTCCATTTGGTTTGCGTCCGCTTAGACATGGACGAAGTGGACTATTCTTCTGACAGGTGTTGGTGTTTTCTGGTCTAACTTAGCGTCTTCACCTTTCTAATAAACTCACTCAATCCCCAGACCGCAATCAGTGCAGGGATTATATTTGGTCGAGTCGAGCTTCGAAAAATGTCACTATATTCAGAACTAGTTTTTTATAATAAGATTTTGATTCACTTTCTTTTTAGAACACGCTATAGGTTACTGTGCACAACAAGTACCCTATTCGTTATTGTGTTGGTGCTAGTGTGATAATATACCATGCAATTAGCTAGCTAAATTTCACAATACATATTAGAAAATGCAATATTAGTTGGGTGTACGAAATTGATCTCTTCTCTGATAGCTAAAATTCGCAATACATAGTAGAAAATGTAATGTTATGTGCGTGTACAAAACTAATACCTTCTCTAATACAGACGAACAAATATGCTAATTTTGTGTCTAACTTTTTTTAGAACACACTACAGTTTACTGTGCACTACAAGTACCCTATTCACTATTGTGTCAATGACAGTGTGATAATATACCATGTAACTAGCTAACTAGCTAATTTCACAGTACACATTAAAAAATGCAATGTTATTTGGGTATACAAAACTGATACCTTTTATGATACAGACGAACAAATATGTTAATTTTTTTATGTCTGAATTTTCTTGTCGTTAAGAAAATTGATTACATCTGTAAAGATGTGAACGGTATAGTGATTACATGTGTAAGATTGATTACATATAATTACAAAGGTGACAACAAAAACCTTTTTTTGGAGGTAACATGTGATGTGCCATAATCTTTACCCCACAGTGTAAGACTTCCATGCATTCAGCTTTTGTATGTATGAACGCTGTAACTTAAACCACATCAAACATCTCATCCAACTGTTGATGCCAATAAGTACCCAATTATCACTCTTGGCCTTTGAAAAGACATGTTTGGCCCAAAAAGTAACGTGTTGACCAATGACGACTCCCATTCAAAACCCTAGAAACATATGGAGGCCGTCAAATTTGAATATTTCATGTTTCATGTTTCAACCACAGATTAATCTCGGTTTAGTTAGTTCTCATTCCTCAGGCGTACGATTATATTCCGTAGACCGGATGTGCTCATTTATGTATTTGAGTTCGATTGTTTTTTTTTTTTTTTGTTTAAACTAGTTTAAAATATAATATTTCTTGTTTTAATTGTTTGAGCACATAGTTCACGTCCTCCAATAATTTAGTAGCCTTGTTGAGAAACCCTACAACATCATCTTTGCCTGCCATCAATAAAGAAAAAGGTTGATATTTGCAAGAAAACGATTTGACGCTCAAATTTGCTTGTTCATAAAGTTTGCAATAAAATGTAAAATAATATCATATCCCTCTCTCCCAAGTGCTTGTGGGTTAAGGTGCCATTGTATAGGCATCAAAGTCTTTCTCGATGCCAAATTCCCCTACATCTGGCTCCAAGTTTCACATTCCTCATCTTTCTTCATGTGCCATGCATGGTAGTGGGTGTTATGTTGCCACTCTCACAAGTTTAAGAAATTAGGATACATGGAAATTAAGTGGCTCATTACTTGATGCTTAATTTTTTTCTCCCACACAAACCATCATTGCTTACATATATATATATATATATATATGTGTGTGTGTGTGTGTAATAATACATAATATGATTTTCAATACCTATGTGTAATGGGAAAGTAATTATCTCATGCAACAGATTACACACAATTTTGTATCTTTCTCTTTTATCACGCGATAAAACATAAAAAAAAATTCGTGAAAGGACGCGGTGTGGAGTGGGCAGTGCAGGCAATGTCATATTGTCATGTTAATAGTGTCAAAGCGATTGATCAAAATTGAGGCAGGTCACATGGATTGATGATGTATAGAACAATATGAACAAGTTATATAGGTTAAAACATATTGATGCAGAAGGCGATAATCTGCATTTGATAGGAAAAAGACGCACTAAGTTGTACCAAAACATTCGAGCCTTAACAACACAACAAAGGCATCCATTTAAACTTTAACATCAAATTTAGAATGTGGTTCAAAGCATAGGCCAAAACTTGCCGCTGGCTGTTCATCATATTGTAGCAATATTCATAAATCACCTACAAAAACTTTCAATATGTCCACTCTCTCTCTCTCTATGTCCCTCTCTCTCTTTCTCTCTCTTATGTATGAATTTGATAAGACCATCACTTTTATCATCTGTCGAGGAGTCGACTTGATTGATTTGATGTGTGCATATACGCGCTGATCCATGCAAATATAATCTATTTTTTGCAATATGATGAAAGAGAGATGAGTTGGAAAGAAAATTACATTCGAGTGATTCCACGATAATAACTCCATGCTTCCCTCAAGGGGAGACTCTCATGTCTACACATGCACATACAGAGTTTTGTTTTACTGCTGTTTTTTTGTTCGTTTTCTTGTTTTACATTTGTCTTTGTATTTTTGTTACTTCTTTATTTCCTGGGAAGATTAATTGAAATGTTGAAACAAGCATGTCATCCTAAAACGTGCAGATCATCAATTAATTTCAACTATAAGTATATACAGTAGAGGAGCTAGGATTTTCAAATAATGGGGTCATAATTTTGACCAAAAAAACTTCAATGTATCATTTCGTCGAGAACATGTTAGGAACTTATTCTTGCCAATATTTGCCGAGGGCTTATGCCAACAACACTATGACCTGTAGAGACTTGTCGAGGGTGGCTATAGACAATTGTGGAGAAATGTTGAAGACTATCAAGCCTTGTGGCATTTCATCGAGGTGGGCACAAAAGAATTGCACAAAGAAGAGAGAAAGGGAAGACAGGGATGATAGAAAAAATAGAAGAAGTAGGAAGAGAATGTTGTAAGTTAGTTTTTCCTAGTTGTTTAGGGTTAAATACAATACACATACAAATATATACATGGAGTTTTTGAAGTTTTTGAGGTCATGGACAAACCAATAGCCTGTGCTGACTCCGCCACTGTGTATATACATATATTAGGGAAAAGTATTTGATTTAGAACCCAAAAGAAAGAAAAAGTACGTATACCAGATGTTTAAGTTAAATAGTGAAAGGAATATACTTGGCTCCCTTCTTTGCAAGTAATTATTTCTACTTACGTGTTAATTAATTACAGTTGAAAACATGTGTGTAACTGATTTGCAAAAAGGAAAAACGATCTCATCTCAATCTTTGAATGAATTATGCAGGAAAGTATTAAGATATTTATTTCTAGTATTTTAGGAGAAATTCTTCTGTTAACCTCAACGACGACGTCTTTTGTACACATAGAGTTGCTAAAACTAGCCTACATACGTGGTTAGATGCAATACAGAAGAGTTCCGCTAAGTTATTTGAGTGGACGTATGGATGGCATGGTTGTTTGGACCGTCAAATAAAGTAAAAAGTCCCATATAGTCATCTTAAACAGCAAATTACAATGCATTATTATTTTTAATTGCAATGCCGGAGCCAAGTTTTTATATGTGGGAGCGCCTCTCACATACATATATAATTGAACTTAAAACATGAGAGATTAGAGTAATTTGCATAAAAAGTAATTTGCATATAAATGGAAAGACCCTAAATTTGATAGAGAGAACTAAAACATGAGAGATTAGAGTAATTTGCATAAAAATGGAAAGACCCTAAATTTGATAGAGAGAACTAAAACTATTGCACAAATCTAGAAACTCGAATGAGGTCAAGATCAAGCAAGAATTTACTTATTTTTTAAATATAAGTTAAAGCCAAAGACTTGATAGAATAAGGAGGAGAAGTGAAGACCGCACTGCAATAAGAGTGATGGAGAGAAAAATGAGATCTGACATGTAACAAAAAGAGTTTGGATTGAGAATATACTTGAATTTTAATATTACTAGACTGATATACAGCAACAACATCTGTTATAGTAGCAAGAAGAAGAAAACAAAGGCAATATGGGTCAGGAACTATTATGATCCCTTAGTGATTCGGCCACTATCTAATTGCATTGATGTTATATTCATAAAAACGCCACCTATATAGATTGCAAGAATGATTAAGTAGCGACAATATCAATACGATTAGCTATGAAATCTGATCCGTGTCTCTATAACGTTAACATAGACTAATACAAAAATTTCTTCAAACTTAGTGGGCTCCATATGTTCGTAAATGGATTATTCATAAACAAGCGTATGGACGGCTGGACCCACTTTTCTCCATGGAACAATAATGAGTGAGTAAAATTCTGAGGGAATGTCAAAGCAGATAAGAATCTTAGAGATTTTCACATCATAGTCGCTCATTATACATCGTGCGGTCAATTTTCGTTACATACTATTTGTATTTAATCTTAAATAATGACTTCACGATGTACGATAAATGGTTAAAATGTGAGGATCAAATTTCAAAATAATTTCTGACTTCACGATGTACGATAAACATTTAAAATGACAATTTGGATCCGAATGGGATCCAAATCCAAAGCTTGGCCTTTTGTGGGTCCATTTTTGTACTTGGAATATGAGCGAGGGCAGGTAGAATGGGCTTGCTCAGTTTATGGGCTTGGTTGGTCCAATCCATTGGGCCTTAAAGATATTAACAAGGCATTTGGGCCTCTGCCTTTTTGCAGATAAGCAAATGCTCTCTCTCTCTCTGTAAATGGTGATGCGCAAAGAAAGGAGAGTCGAGAGGAGAAAGACGCAAATGAAGTAGCAGCCAAAGGGGGTAGACAACAATTTGGAACAGGAGCAAAAGCAGAGCAATGATTCCACGAGTGTCATTGCCATGGCGGAACGGACTCAGAACCAGAGTTCCGGCGGGAAGCAGAGGCTGCAGCGGAGCTCAGACCACCTTGAGAAACGACGACGGCCACCCGATTATCATCTCTCCTCCTCTTGTCTCCTTAGACATACCTGACGATTGGGCTCCCGCCACCGCCCAATCTGGGTTTTCTTCCCCTTTGAGTTTCTGTAAGCTTCCTGCTTTCCCATCTCTGCTGGTTAGCTTTCCTCTGTTTATCTGCTTCCATTTCATTTCTTGTAGTGTTTAATGTGTTAATGTTTCAATATTTTAATTAAATTAAGTGGTATTTGATGGTTTGTAGAAAACCCAGTTCCTAAAATTTTGATTTGTGTTAGTTCGTCACAGTATTATGCGTTAAAGTTTCCATATTTCTTTTGGGTAAATTAAGTTGTATTTGATGTTCGTTTGTTAATGTGTCCATATCATTGTCGCCAACAATAGCTACCTGACATGTTATCTGTACATTTTCGACAATACTGATATGCGTAGAGAAGCACAAAGAAGTTTCAATATTTTGAGTAAATGGAGTGGTACTTGATTGTCACAGAAAATCCAAAATTCCGGAACTTTGATTTGTGGTAATTCATGATAGTATATAATGCATTAACGATTTCAATCTTCGTTTTCATGCCCACCTCAGCAAACGAGCAGCAAGCTGCTGTGATTGATGGGAAATCGATGGCGGATGAAATTAGATCAAGAATAGGCAGTGAGGTGAGGAGGATGAAGAAGAGCATTGGAATGGTTCCTGGATTGGCTGTCATTGTGGTGGGCCACAGAAGGGACTCGCAGACTTACGTCCGAAACAAGGTGATGGCTTGTGAAGAAGTTGGAATCAAATCAATGGTTACTCAGCTACCTGAAGAGTGTACAAAAGATCAACTTCTTGGCGCTTTATCTTGTTTCGATGTGGATCCCTCTGTTCATGGTATTCTTGTGCAACTTCCTCTACCACAAGTAATTTCTTAATCTGTGCCAATACTTCTTTAAGCTTTATTTTGTGCAATATGCTGTTCTGAGAGTAAAGGATGCATATAGAGCTAGACTAAAATTGAAGTTATATATGGTATGTTTATTTTATCTACAAATAATTCATTTCCCCAATGAAAATGTAGTAGATGGTCATGATGATTCTCCAATTCCGAGATAATTTGAATCTTAAACATAGGTGATTAACTAGAACGATCATTTTGTTAAGAATGATAAAACAAACTTATATACTTGTTAGCTATTACTAATAAGTACTTTACCTGAAACTACCACACTCAAGGGAATGCCCCTTTATTGGGGTTCTTACTTGACTCAAAAACTGGGTGGGATAGGCTTTAAAGCCTAAATCTATCACACAATCACCCACCGATTGGAAGCTTCCCCATTTTTAGAATTCAGTTCCCTTAAAAACCACAGCACATTTCAAGCAAAACGGTGTCTGAATTGTGCTAATCCAACAATTTCAAAGTTTCGGTCACTTCAGGATTGCAGGCCCATACGTTTGGTTTCAAGCTTGTGAGATCCCTAGTTGACAAAGTTGAATTCAAGAGTACAGCCACCCACCGAACTTGAGACTTGACCCTTGAGCACCCTAGTGGATAGTTATTACTCTTAGATCATGTGTGGCAAGTTGGCAACTAAATAGTTGAGGTTTTGATGCATTACATGTCAGAACTTGCTGCTGTTGTATGGATGACTTACAACAAACTGTCTGGGACAGCATTTGGATGAGGGAAGAGTTTTGGATGTGCTGAGTCCAGAGAAAGATGTCGATGGCTTCCACCCGATTAATATGGGAAATCTAGCTATGAGAGGAAGGGAGCCTTTGTTCATTCCCTGCACTCCCAAGGGTTGCATTGAGTTGTTGCTCAGGTCTGGTGTGGAAATCACGGGGAAGAAAGCTACTGTGATTGGGAGAAGTAACATTGTCGGACTTCCAGCATCACTGCTCCTGCAGGTGATATTATATTCTTTCAAAAATGAAATTAATAGTAAACAATCCATAGATTGCTAATGTACAGGTATAATTTTCTTTGAATTGTTGTGCAGAGGCACCATGCAACAGTCAGCATTGTACATGCGTTCACAAAGAACCCAGAACGTATCACCTGTGAAGCCGACATTGTGGTCACAGCTGCTGGAGTGCCTAATCTGGTCCGTGGAAATTGGCTGAAGCCTGGAGCAGTTGTTATCGACATTGGAACTACTCCAGTTGAGGTAAATACCAGACTCCTCTATCCGTTAAGTTATAACGTTAGAGAATCGAATAAATACCACGATTGGATAATATTGATTAAGCTTCTGTTATATTGATCAACTAATGGCAACGCCATAGCAGAATCCAGTTTTCTTGCACCTATTTTTAATTAAAAGTTTGAATTTGGCAAAACAAAACGACTGCTTCTTGATTAGTTCGCTTTCCGTATGTTAATTGCATATATGCATTCGCAGGACTCGAGCTGTGAGCATGGTTACCGTCTCACCGGAGATGTTTGCTACGAAGAAGCTGTGCGGGTGGCTTCAGCCATCACCCCAGTGCCTGGAGGAGTTGGACCCATGACAATTGCTATGCTTCTATCGAACACTCTCGACTCGGCGAAGCGAGTATACGCCTTCACATGAACTGTAATTTTGTTGATTGTAGCATAGTTTTGGTCATGTTAAACTGCAGGCTTTCGTTGTTTTTTTTCGACTTTCAAACTCATTCAGTGTTCAGTGTTCAGTTTTCAGTCACTCGAATCATCAAATTATCTAAGGACTACAATAGGCTGCTGAATCAAATTTTCGGGCTGATAGCCTCGTAAATAGGTAATATACAAAAGATTCATAATACAACATTCTGTACCTTCAACGATCGCACGCCCTGATGATGAAGGAAACCAATCTGGATATCCAAACCTCCGGAGATGCGATGTAAAAAAAACGAAATGAATAACATGGTACAATTCAATGCTGACAGAAATCACGAATATCATCAATCTGGCACAAAGATAAAGTATCCACTCTTCAATCTGCGCCGACGCTAAACCAGTCATTCTTCCACTTCAGTCGCAGGTTCAACCGGCTCTGTGACTGGTGGTATGCAATCTACCTTGTAGCGCAACACCTATATTCCAGCAAATGAAAAGATATAAATGTAAGAAAATTCCGATATTGAACATGTAGAATCCAACCGCGACCAATTCATAATAAAGTTTGAAAAAAGATCGGATTTTGCTTTCGATCTCTCAAAGTTGATGATAAAGTCGTCTGACCTACTTTAGCTACTTTGTTAGAGATGGAGACTTAGCAGCCACTATACGTAGTTGCATAGGATTATTGAAAAGAAACGTAACAGAATGTAAACAAAAGACGCCAATTCTGTTGACAACGAGATATGATCCAACGCAACTTAACGGTTCAAACTTCAAAGTGAAGTTTCCAAGTAGCATCTAAGGCCCGCTTGTTTTCAAGCAAGAATAATATGTAAAGCGGCGTAGCAAAACAAAAACTGAATATCTACAAGATACCGAAACATGTCTGCGTACCTTCTTAAAAAAACTAGAATAGGAATTGTCCCAAATCAGTTTGTAGTTTCCCACCTCGCATGTGCAGAAGTTTCCCTGTGAAAGGACATATATTGAAGCCAGGACATTAAAATAAAAAATGGTGTTCTAACACCACAAATAGCCAGAAATAGCAGAACTTACTTGGTCAGACTCAAAACGTCGGTAAGGTAAAATGAGCTGTGGTAAAACCAGCAATGCCCCCAAAGTAATTACAAGAAAACAATTAAGTTAGAAGGAGCAAAAAGAGGGAAAAAAAAAAAAAAAAACAAGGATTGAACAGGAAGAGAATAAAGTGAGCATGGTAATTAATAACTGACGCGTCATCGTTAAACTTACAGATTTTTGCCCAGAAGGATTTGTATACTCAACACTAAATCCAATATCCTGACCACCAAACATAACTATCAGTATGCGATGAACGTTGTCATAAATTTTGCATAAAGCAGCAAACGAGAAATCCCAACAATGCTTAAGAACAATACCAAGTTTATCTTCCCTTGTACAAGCGAGAAATCCCAAGCAATATATGAATTGATTGCGTCCACAGCCAATGAAACCTATAAAGAGTAATGAAGCTACATTAATTACCGGCTGGGTATTAGTTAAACGGCAACAATTGTTAAGAAATAAAGCAATAGAATTACACCCCCATGCATGTGAACACTAAGCACGACGTCATGAGGAAAAAGAACAAGTACCACGAGAAGATATATAAACAAACCTCATGAATTTTCCCAGCTGGAACACTGGTCTCTTGGTAATCATCGTTATTCCTACACAGAAGAAATTAACAAAAGTTTTAATTCAAAATTACAGAAGATAATTTAAACAAATAAAAAAGAACTAAACCAGAGTCTCAGTGCCCCACCTTCCTTGTAATGCGCCCGCAACCTCTGCTGGGATAAAAAAGGGGGAATTTGCAAAGACCTCACTGAAAAAAATGCATACGTAAATTGATATAGGAATAAGCGCAACCTAGCAGCAGGACAAAGGAAAAACAGGCTTGCAGCCCAATATGACAACACTGCTTTTATTTTGGATGTGTAAGTGTGTGAGTACTATCATGCCTATAATACACAAGCAAGCAACCATGATTAGCAATTTTTTACATCTACACATGTTTACGGTCAAAAAAGGATAGTCAAATCAAACCCTTAGCAAAAGGAAGGGGTATATAAATTGAAGGGGCGATGTTATTGGCACTCCAAAAAAGTCATTTTGCATGTGTATTTTTGTTTAGGGTGTTGCTATCCACACACCCCTTTTTACCTCCCACACACTCTTGTTAATTTCTGTCCATTTGATCTTATTCATTCGACTTGACGGCCGGAAATTAAGAGGGTGTGTGGGAAGTAAAAAGGGGTGTGTAGATAGCACCACCCTTTGTTTATAAATATAGAAAGTTTGGCGTGCACGCTAACTTTTTTGGAGTGCCAATAACATCTCCCAAATTAAAACCTCAAAACCAATATGCAAGTGCTTAATACAATGACAGCGATAATAATCATTATAGTCAGGATGACATATGAAATTAAAGTTACCCAATCCAAAACAGAAAAAGGAGTAATACCTGATGAACGTAATAAACCTTACAAATTCAGTGGTGTAGACATCAACAGCTTCTTCGAAGACAACTAACTCTTGCTTGCTTCTTCTCAATTCATAAAACAAACGAAAGTGTCACCATTAAAAACAATAGAACTACATCTTGAACATAACAACCTAAGGTAAAAAGATTCTCACAATTTTCTAGTCTCAAATCGCCCCCAAGACAACGAAATAAAGAGTCGTATAAGAAGCGCCATAGTTGTAAGGCTGTATAAGGGTGGTCCATAACGCTGTCGTTGCTCTTCCATGGGCCTATTAATGAAGGATACAGTAAGAGTATAAGACATTCATTACTATAGGAAATGCAATCAAACTACTCCCACAATAAAACTTACCCATCATCATCATTTATTTGGCGAATAAAATCAAGTAAAACCTGCATCCAAAAGGAAGTGCAGGAACAGTTACCAATGATCGACAATCTATAACATGGAATCAGTAAAATGCACTTAAATTCATCTACAAATATATAAACTGAAGCTCCATCAAATAACTACGCTCTCACTAATACATACTAAGGCAAAACAAGAAATCTAGGTAGATAGGCAAGTCAAACTGTTAATTATTGATCAAACCATTAAGAACATTAACCATGGAAATGAACAAACCAGCAGTGGATATACAGGTCCATACAAAGCATATGGTGTAGTAGGCAAATCCAGCCAATAATGTGGTAAGTAAAGGCCGAGAGGAGCATACCTGTGGAACCCCAACCAAGTACTTGACAAGTGTCTTGTAGACACCAGTTGCAGAACCAAGCTGCGCTAACAGTCTCCTCCTGAAAAGTTTTTGGGCCGAGTAGAATGTGAGATGGAGCATGTGTTGCTTTTCAACTGATTGGCAAACGCAAGGAGGCTTACCTCTCCATTTGTTGGTTCCACAAGAGAGCATAACGTTCACGTATAGTTGCTCCAGAACTAACCAAAGCTTCAACCTCTGCTTGCTTATTCCTCTCTGAACGCTCCCGCTGTAGTCTGATGAGCCTTCCCCGAAAATCCTGGGGAATGTAAGTCATAACTGCAGGCAGCACATTCAGAAAATTCCATTACGACCATAGAAAATTCATGAATAACTCATCGAAACACAACACAGGCAAGTGAGAGGGAACTACCCGTGTTAAACACACGTTCGGAATTTTTTGCTTGGAAAGTCTCCAATGTCTTCAAACTGGTTTGAAATTTCTGGTGGAGACGATCAATCACAGTAGCAAGTTCAGCATCATCAGGACTGGACTGCTTTCGAAGCTGCCGAAAGAAACACGGATCAAAACACAACGAAAAGGCAGCATCTTTCGCAGCAAAACGACTTACATTAACTTAGCTTAGACTTACAGTTTGAGGCCAATGGGATTTTTCAAGCAAAAATAGTATCTCTTCCATATGCTCTCGATTCTTCCACATGTTTTCGTCAACTTTATGGGGAGGTTCACTCTCCAATTCACTCACTAACAATCTCTCCTCGCCTAAAAATCAAACCCATTCGATTCATTCACTATGCAAGATATTGAATTTTTTAGATTGCAAGCAAAAAATTGGGAAAAGTTGATCACTTTAGCAAAAATATGTAAAATTTTCATAAGGGTTTTGAAATTACGATGACCTTGAGCCGCCGGAGAGTGGCGGAGCAAATCGGCGGTCAATGATCGAATCTCGGCTGAGAGGCGAGCGACGTCGTTTGAGAGAGGGGGAAATTGGTATGTGTCGTAGTAGGAAGCGAGAAAAGCCCTGGTTATTGGTACTATACCCTCCGTGGAAGCCATTTTTACTTGTGAGCAAGACCAGTCCAACGCGATCTCCCTTTACCTATCTTTCTCTCTCCAGCTTTCTCTCTCTTACTTTTCTGTGTTCGTCGGCAACAGGAAGAGGGGAAGAGGAAGAAGGAAGTTACGGCGGAATAACGAATTTTGAAAAGGAATAAACCAAATAGAGAGCAATTGAGTCAAGTCCACGCCACTACCCAGCGTACCACTCTCACCTCATTAAAATTCTCTCTCCTTCTAAATCACTTCTCTCTTCTCCTCTTTTCTTCCGGAGTCGGATTTTCTCTTTTTTTTTTCTTTTTTTTTTTAATATATATTTTTATTTTTCTTATATTTAAATGGTTACAATTAAATCAGATCGATATTTTATATTAATTTTATATATAAATAGACAAAATAAAAAATATGAAATGAGGAGATGGAAGAAGATGGAAAGAGGGGGGGGGGAGATAATCCTAATCCTTCCCTCTCTCTCCCTTCTCTTTTTATCTTTTTCTCTCAATAAAAAAATTACCTTAAAATATTGACATAGCTTAATTGACTCCCTCCCTTCTTTTTTACCTGTCTCCCAACAAAAAAAAAAAATCACCTTAAAATATTAACGTTGTTTAATCGTGACCGTTTAAATAAAAACGAACGAAAAGAGAATAAAATTTGAAAGAGAAAAAATCCTACTTACTTATGATTATTTTAAATTTAGATCAATTGTATTTTACTCTTAAATGGTTTTAAAATCGTTTATTATTCATGTGAAATCGTTTTTAGATTTTTAAAATCTAATGCCTAAAACCTTTGATTTCAATCACTTTAAAAA